AGTGTATCTGAGTATGTGTTTGTACTGGATAGTGTATCTAAGGATGTGTTTGTGCTGGATAGTGTATCTAAGGATGTGTTTGTGCTGGATAGTGTATCTAAGGATTTGTTTGTGCTGGATAGTGTATCTAAGAATGTGTTTGTGCCAGATAGTGTATCTAAGGACGTGTTTGTGCTGGATAGTGTATCTAAGGATGTGTTTGTGCTGGATAGTGTAGCTAAGGTTGTGTTTGTGCTGGATAGTGTATCTAGGTATGTGTTTGTGCTGGATAGTGTAGCTAAGGATGTGTTTGTGCTGGATAGTGTCTCTAAGGATGCGTTTGTGCTGAATAGTGTATCTTAGGATGTGTTTGTGCTGGATAATGTATCTAATGATGTGATTGACCGGGACAGTGTAGCTAAGGATGTGTTTGTCCTGGATAGTGTATCTAAGGATGTGTTTGTGCTGGATAGTGTAGCTAAGGATGTATTTGTGCTGGATAGTGTATCTAAGGATGTGTTTGTGCTGGATAGTGTATCTAAGGATGTGTTTGTCCTGGATCGCGTGGCTAAATATGTGTTTATGGTGGATCACGTAGCTAAGGATTTGTTTGTCCTGGATTGCGTGACTAAGGACGTGTTTGTTCCGGATCGCGTGACTAAGGATGCGTTTGTACCGGATCGCGTGACTAAGGATGTGTTTGTACCGGATTGCGTTACTAAGGACATGTTTGTACCGGATCTCAGTACTAAGGATATGTTTGTACCGGATTTGTGGCTGAGGATGTATAAACGTGCTGGATCGCGTAGCAAAAGATGTATTATTGTGCTGGATCCCTTGGTAAAGGATGAGCATGTGCTGGTTATATAAGAGTGTGTATCAAATAGGTTTGAGTGTTATCTAAACTCGACACTTCTCTTATCAGAATTGTTTGTTTTACGTCTAAGAAGTAAATAAAGGGGGAACTGCGCTAATACAAGCACATGCTGTTGATCTATAACTAGAAGGGCATGTGCTATTACTAGATAAGGAAGATAATCAAACGTCAACAATAAATGCATTAAAGTTCCCCCCCCCTTCTCCCCTCTACAGGATATTGGAATATAAAGAAACCTAGAACACTAACCTTAAATTTAGTTTTCTAATTCTAATATTTTTCGGATAACTTAGACCTTAGGTATTAAAACTATGATATCTTCAAGATCAAATATCTAAAATTTACACCATCAGACTGCAAAGATATTGTGACTCAAAAATTTTAGTTAGAGGCAATTGTTTTTAGTTTCTTTTATCATTTGTCCCCAAAGAATATTTATCATGAGAACATACGTTGCATCATCCCAGTCCTTGTGCCGGTGAAATCATACATTAATTGATATTTAGTCCCTCCTCCCCTTCCGACCCCTTAACAGGTCATACCCCCGCAATTATTGTGGAAATTAATCTCTAAACTCATATAATTCATATAATCAGCTGAATCATTAATATGACCGAATCTGATGAGTACAACTTTCTCCATGACAACCGCATCCTTCTCAAAATTCCAATATTTTCCCCGGAAAATCAACAAAAGGTTGGTTTAAAATACCATTTATCCTTTAAATCACGTGTTTCCTGTTTTTCTAAGGATTTAAGGTTGTTATTTTAACCTTTATCTAAGACGGGAGAACTAACATTGGGTTTGGTTTATTTATAAATCTCAGAAATATGAAATATAACAATATATGGAGAATCTTTGAGATACTGGAGAATCCTGGAGAATCCTGGAGAATACTGGAGAATCCTGGAGAATCCTGGAGAATCCTGGAGATACTGGAGAATCCTGGAGAATCCTGGAGAATCCTGGAGAATATTGGAGATCCCTTGAGAATCCTGGAGAATCCTGGAGAATCCTGGAGAATCCTGGAGAATCCTAGAGAATCCTGGAGAATCCTGGAGAATCCTGGAGAATCCTGGAGAATCCTGGAGAATCCTGGAGAATCCTGGAGAATCCTGGAGAATCCTGGAGAATCCTGGAGAATCCTAGAGAATCCTGGAGAATCCTGGAGAATCCTGGAGAATCTGGAGAATCCTGGAGAATCCTGGAGAATCCTGGAGAATCCTGGAGAATCCTGGAGAATACTGGAGAATATTAGGTTTTCACTTTTCTATTAAATAATTGACAAAGGGCAGGTGGGATACACGAACTCAATATTATTGCACGTGTCTCTCCTTTCTTGCCATATTTGGCGAATTTAGACTTGCGAAACTAAAGATTAAATTTGCGAAGCAAGAGATAAAATTTGCAGATATCGTGGTTACACGCCTCTTCGACTTTATCTCAAATATTCTAAAAGATGATCGCGGATTTCGAAATATACAAATATGTGGATCTGTAAATTGGAGAACTTCATATGGTTCTGATCTTAAATCCGCTAGTATCAATGTAAAAATTATCCTCTGAGAAGTCATGAGTTTTTTAATCATATGAGTCGGCAATTTTCATTTTTTATGCGTAAATATACGGGGGGGACTCGTAAAACTGTTTAATTGGAAGACAACATTTATTTGATGTGTATTCGATGTTGGTGTAATAAAGCAAATAGTTTTACCAATGGGTAGAAAATCAACTTATTAAGAGAAATGAGTCTGTGTACTTACTCTGCGCGATTGCTATGTTTCATGTTCATCTACTATTTAAAATCAGAATTAGGTTCCACTGTATCAAAAAATACACTATTTACTTGAAAAAAATTAATTTTAAATTCGGAAATAAAATATTATTTTGTAAGAAATACAAGTTTAGTCATGCTAGATTAAATTTGGGTCCAACACAAGGTTACATAATATCTAATTTTATTGTTTGTAAACCCTTGAAAGAAAATGATATAAGACCCGAAGAGTCCCTCCTCCACCTTATCTCTGTCTGTTTGAGTGTTTATGGGTCAGTGAGCACATGTGTTTTTATCATATATTGCCCATCAAACCTAAACCTGCCCCTCATGATTTCTATCCCAAGCCTGGTAGCCCCCCCCCCCCCACTCCCATTCACACAACCCCAATTCTATCCCGTTATCTTGTTTACAAAGTTCTCCAAGATTCAGGTTTCCTTAAATCAATCATTCAGTTCTCATAATCTTCATTCATATCATTACTTCATGTGTCCACACAGTTCTCTTAATCCTTATCCATATCATTACTTCATGGGCCCAACCTTCTTCAGTTCTCTTAATCCTTATTCATATCATTTACTTCATTTGTTCACAACCTACTCCAGTTCTCTTAATCCTTATTCATATCATTTACTTCATGGGTTCACAACCTTCTCCAGTTCTCTTAATCCTTATCCATATCTTTGCTTCATGGGTCCACAACCTTATCCCATTCTCTTCATCTTTATTCACATCATAACTATTATTCTCCCGTCCTGTTTATCCTAATGCCTATTTCTACAGTTTTTGTGTTTTAAATTTTATCGAGAATTATTTGTTTAAAGGAGAAAATTGTGTCTCTTTTTCTCTTAAAAGAGCAATTAATTCTCCTGAATAAGGAGACCATTTTCTTAAGGTTTCTCTTCTTGTAGTAGTGGTGTACAATTGATTTACCAGAAGGAAGAATTGTTTCCGTTTCTGAAGAGAATTATTTACCTTTTCTTTACCTTGGTTTGGTGTAAAGCTGTAATACTAGACATTCTTAGCTCTTACAAGGTTTCAATAATCACTAGGTTTTGCTTAGTAAACAAATTAAACATATTAACAAAAACTTAAGCTTCCATATTATACTATATTAGATTAATATTCTCTTTCTTCACTTCTTTTTACTTCTTATATCTAACTCCTTTTCATACACATTTTTTCATCTGTTTTCTAATTTCTGTTTTTTCTCCTTCTCCTTCTTGTTTCTCTCCTGATTCTCTTCTCGTTCAGCTCTCTCCCTCTTCTCCTCCCATTCTAATTTTACACCTTCTCTTTTCCTCCTTCTCCTTCTAAGCCATTTTGTTTTCCCACTTTTTTGGTAGTCCTTCTTCTTCCTACACAATTCTCCTCCTACTCATTCTTATCCATCTATTTTTCTTCATTTTTTTACTTATTAAATATTCTTACTTCTTTTTTCAATAATTCTCCTCCCCTTCTTTTCTTTATTTACTAAACATCCTTTTATATTCTCTTACTATTCTTTTTTTTCTTTAAATATACCTGCGTGCTCCCTGTTTTTCATATTTCATCCAACTCTTTACAGTTCTACTTTTTTCAATTTATTTGCATAACCTTATTGTAATATAATTGTCTTCAGATACTCCTTCCAATTCTTTCTTCTCCTCCTGCTCCACTTGCTTCTCCTGCTCCTTATGCTGCTCCTCCTACTCCTTCTCTGCCGCAGGGTTTGGAAACGCCCTGCCAGAAATAAATCTTTGCAAATATAAATTTTTCTCCGGAGAAAGGTTTCAGAAATTATTCCTAAACCGTAGAGTTACCGAATTACTGTGTTTGGGTGGATTGGATACTATTGCATGAAAAGTGCAGGTATTAGAATTATATGAATTACTATATTTTACTGAATTAAAGTCGGACTGAGATAATTTTACACCCTGCAATATCTTTTGTCAGATTGTAAAGAACAGGATGAAAATATTTCCCTAAATATCAAATTTGTTAAATCCATTTGAAAGCAGGTGAAGTATTACAGTTTCCTGGTCCCCCCCCCCGCATGTCTACTCCAGGGGGAGGGGGTAATATTTCACTGTGAAATGAATGAGTCAGGATATACGAATTTTATCCTTTGTTTTTATCCACATGAATTGTAGTATGATGGATAGGGAGGGTACCCGTATATATTTATATATGTAGAGACGAATATTAGAATAAACAATGTCTGCCAGCAGATCTAAGCGTGTATGCATAGAAAATTGTTCCCAAATTGGCTTGATAGTGGATATCCCTTACTTGTTGCCCCCCCCCCCCCCACCACCCTGTTCTATCCCGGCCCGGTCTCTCCGCAACATTATTCTTCTCTAGTAGTAGTAGTAACTAGTATACTATACTCAGGAGTTAGTATCCGATTCCGACTCCAGACCCAGTCCAGTCCAGTCGGTCTTCAACACTAGACGAGTGCAGATGTGGCACGGAGTTCTTGAAAAACAACTCTTTAAAAGCAAAACTGGTCGAAATAAAATACTAGACTGGGCAGCTGTTAACTGCAGTAAGTGAGTACTGGATAAAGTACTTTAAGGACTTATTTCCAGTAAAAAACCTGAAAAGTTTTCAAGTTTTATTAAAAAATAGAAAAGTGATTGAAAACTGTAGAATAAGAAAGGGAAACGACGAGTTTTAACCATGACGTGAAAATATGCATTATTACGCGTCCTGAGCAGAACAGGTAACTTTCAGTTTTATTTTCTTATTTTTTTTAAATATCTAGATACATATTTACTCTTTACATTCATACAGGGTGAATTTAAAAAAACAAACTTCTGAAGTATTTTGTTATTTAGAAACTTTGTATTTTCTTTTACTACGCAAATTATAACTAACACATATCTAATATTCATAAAGCTCTTTTTTATCCTTTGTGTTGCTGGAATTCAGCCTAATCCGGTGTTAGAGGCTTACTTAGGAAAAAACCTGGAAAATTGTATGAAAAAAAGTTTTATTGTTTGGAAGCCTCCTAACTTTTAAGTGCTTGTTCATGTTTTGTGGGTATTAACTTTTTTATTCTTGTTTCTAACTTTTTCATGTTTACAACCTCGCTGGTCGTTTAATAAAAGTGTAAACAATCTTCATGCTTGTATCGTAAATATTTACATTCAGGGTCCAGGACCCTCTGACCCAGAAACTTGAGAAGAAAAGTGGCATTTTCTCAACTTGATCCTTTGATGGGTTTATACTAGAGATTGAAAACTATGTTAAATCTATAAACACTGAACTCATCCAAGATAAACTTGTATTTTTTACAGTTTACCCATTAAGGTGCCCTGGAAATAGTATTTTCACTCAGAATTTGTATCTGTTTTATTTTTAAAATTAAGTTTTACGACATTTTTAAATGAAGTATGAATATTTATACTAAACCATATTCAAACCGTAAAGTAATTTTCTTAATAATCACTTAAAGCCATAGTATTTTTAATGATTTTTTACATTGAATTTTTTATATTTCCACCTCAAATCAAAGTAATGGAATTGAGTCTTTGTCACAAACTCTAATTTTCTGAACCTTATATCTTTGCAACCCAATATCGTATAACTTAGATAGTTCAAACTTTGATTTCTTTTAGATTAAATAATCTAAATTTAAAATATCTAGGGTTTACACCATCAGGTTCCATAAGTAAGATTAAAATTTTACACTATTCCAATCATAACTTCTCTTGTTAAAGATCAATCAAAAAGAACGAAATCGATTTTGATTTCTAATATGTAACCAAAAGTTGTTTACTTGTATGTGAAAAGTGAAATAAAGATTAGAGGAGCCCTGAGGTCAAAAGTCGTAACAGTAATATATTGCACAAATTTAACGTTCCCCTTCTGACTCGAGCGTTGAGTGTGTTTCACGAAAAAAAAATTTTGTTTCATAATTTTCTTCAAGATTTTATTCAGCAAAAATATGATGGCAGTTATGTATTTTGTACTTTTCTCTTGAAACGATTTACAAATTTTCCACGACGGCCAAGCCCAGGTCTAATTTTCATCTAAATTCTGGAAAATAGCTCGCAATTATTAATCTATTAGCTATTTATGAGATAACAATAGGCGCATCAGCTAACTATCAGCTTTCTATAAAACTTTAAGCTTTTAAAATATGCTTTTAATATATGCATACATTTATGAGCTATCTATATAATCTCAGCTATTAATATGTATGTTTATCAGCTGTGTATTTATAGATGTATCAGCTATCAATATGTATATCTATCAACTGTGTATCTATAGATATATCAGCTATCAATATGTACATATATCAGCTGTGTATTTGTAAATGAATATATATATATATAAGGCTAAGCTGTGTATCTATAGATGAGATGTATCGGCTATTAATATGTATATTTATCAGCTGAGTATTTATATTTATAAATGTATCAGCTATTAACATGTATATCTATCTATAAATGTATCAGCTATCAATATGCATATATATCAGCTATGTATTTATTTATAAATATATCAGCTATTAACATTTATATCTATCAGCTGTGTATCCATAGATGTATCAGCTATCAATATGTATATATAAAAGCTGTGTATTTATATATAAATGTATCAGCTATCAATATGTATATCAGCTATCAAAATGTAAATCAAATCAGCTCTGTACAGATTATAGGAATTGTGTTGGATAAAAATGGAACACTATGGTATCCCCTATCTTTTGATAGAATCACATTTATTTACCGCATTATACAGATAAGATACTGTAATTGTACACTGCCCACAACCAAAAACATGTTATTCAGTTTATAACAATTTTAGGATATACGCGTTAGATTTCACCAAATCAAAAGTTTTATCATTTATTTTCTCACTCAGATGAGATCACGCTCCTGAAAATGACATCTGTGTCGTGCCAAATTCTTTTTAAATTTTAATCTTACAAATGATGTATTGTTTAAAGAATCCTCCCAGCAGTCCTCCCTGTAGGTTTAAAACAATAACGAAGTACAACTTTCAATTTGCGCAGTAAAAACCAAACCTAAAAGCAAACCTTTTAGGAGTACTTTCATACAAGAAGCTTCGCAGCGTGGGAGTCAACTGGATTTACAGGGCGGGATATTGCAGTTTTTACTTTTGTTAACAGTTAATATGAGGGGATATTAATGCCTTTGTATGGTGCTATGCAATCGGTAGCTGTGCAATTTACACCAATTGGCGCGTGGGATGTTGCAAATTTTATTATCAGAACAGATGAATTGGGTTGTTATTGTGATTACTTTAAAGGATTTAAGTAGGAGGTGGTTGCAATATTTACTTTGTAGGTTGAAGATTAGAGAATTATATCTTGAGTTGAACCAGGTGTGTGGTATCTGGGTTATACTAAACCTAGCTTTATGTCATCAGTGGTCATTTCAGGCCGGGTAGGGGGGGGGGGCAATTACAGGGCTTCAGTTCAACCCACGAGATTTAGGGATTTCAGCAGGGTTCACGGTCCAAACATTTTAAATCGTTTTGTAGATTATTTATAATTTGATGTTTTAACCAATTTATGCTTTTCTGTTTTATTTTCAGTAATTTAGAATATGACTATTCCATTAAGAATGACGGGGTTTTAAACTTCTTCATCTTTGGAATTTTGAAACGGAAATACTCTTTACCTTAGCACGCAATTTTTTTTAAACTTAAAAATCAGAAAACTTTTGAATGAAGTTCAAGAAACAGAAATTCAAAGACTTTAAATAAGATTGAGATTTTTAAAATTATAAAAGAAGTTCAGTATATGCTTGTTCATGCTTGATGCATTTTAATGTTACGAAGATTCTCATTTTCTAGGTTCTCCTGAGTCCTAAAGTTTCTCCATGTTTTTTTAGTTCTATAGGGTTTTTAATCTTTCAATGGTTTGCAGTTTTATCAGGGTCTCCAGGTTTCAACATTTTAACGTTTCATAATATTCAAATTTTAAAATTCTTTCGACTGTTGTTCTACAGGTTTCAATCCCTCCTAGGAAAGCCTGCATAATCTAATCTTTTATCTCCAGGTTATGACATCCTACTTCTCCAAACTTACCCGGTATATGACCCATGACCCCCCTCCTTCAAGATACGCCTGAGTAAAGCTTCCCCCCCCCCCCTACTCCACCGTTTATCTCGAGCAAAGTATTCCCTGTTCCTAGCTCCAAGCTCTAGTTTATCCAATCCTATAATCCTGCTCAACCAAAATATATTCTTCAAATCTCAGCTTTTCATTCTCAATCCATCATCAATGATCTGACCGATATAAAAATTGGGGTTTCTTCCTTAAATTCATGCTTTTTGTAATTTTGTCAACAAAATATACACAGTATATAATGATAATTTTAAACTTTTTTACAAATCAATAGAACCTCCCTCTGGTTTATATTCACAAATTGTATTCATTGAAATTTACAACAGTCATTGCTTTCATTATAAAAACTTCACAAATAAATAGGAATATGTATATCTTTTATGATTGTTTAAACTCATTCATATTTGTTGTAAAATGTACGTTAGAATATGCAAATTTAAAGAGTATTGAAAAAATTCGGTTTAACAAATTGATGCATTTACATATATGTATAACCTCCAATTATTTAGTCGATTCTTGATTTTTCAGAATAATGATTGAATTTACTATTTGAGGTTCAACAACGCATACTGCTGCATCAGTTTGGTTATTACTGTCATATCTTCTCCGTGTGTAAAATATATACTATTATATTTCTGCTGGTAATGGTTACACCTAGAGTAAAATTGGTTGCAAAATCATCATCAAAGGCAGGAAATCCTTGTTGGAGAGATTTATTACTCAACCAATTATCCCTGATACTAAACCTTAGGTTTGTGTACATTAGATGTACCTACTTACACGTACATTAACCTAATAAACTGTACATTATATTTTATGCTCATCTACCAGTTTTTATTCTGTATATTGTTATAATTTTGATCACAAGATTATATGCTTACTTACGTTTTAGTCCTTCAAAAGTTCATTTATTAGATCTCAGGGTTGAAACTATTAAAAAGTGGCCTCTATATATAAATATATCTATTATACCTATATTTATAATGTACCCTAATATGCGGAAGAGGCAAGATGGAGTCCTGATTAATGGTTTATATTTCAGTAAAGCGATGGCGCCTCCTGAGATTCTAACAAGACGATGGAGGAAACTGAAGAAACGTTGTAGCTTCTCCGCTAGTGATAGACTAGTCCGGAGTAAATCCTTTACGGAGCAGGACGTATTGAAGGGAGAGCAGACTCTCTCCAGGACGGAGCAGGAGGAGAGAGATAAGTATCTCACGGTTGGATCTAGAGATGTAAACAAGTTCCAGGGAATTAGGGAGAAGATTTCCCAGTGGAACAATGACTTTAAAAAGAGAAGATCAACAGAAAACCTTAATTTACAATCACGCGTAGAGCAGGGTTCAGAGTTAAGTAAATTTAATCATGAGGAGCGTGAAGATTCTATGTTCGTTCTTGCATGCCCGGAGCAGGGTTATGTGAAGAGTGCATTAGTAATCAGTTCCAACACCAAAGAGAGTAGAATATCTCCCAGAAATTCAACTCCTAAGAAACCAGGATTACCAGGTGTACGGAGAGAACGACAAGATAGTTCTCCTTGGTCCACACCCAGTCCCAGCCCACCAGCAAGTGATGATTCAAGTGATTTTAGTCACGAAAACCAAAGAACTGACTCCTACACCTCCCACTCTGCCCTGTATCAGGACCAGGACTCGGGATATGACGGTTTCTGTCCGGAAAAATCAATTTACTCCACAGGTTCATCAGAAACAAGTTCTCTCTTATCCTCTGAAGGGTTGGAACACTCTCCGGGTACACATTTCTCCGATCCTTTCTCTAAATCCCGACCTCGACCAAGACCCTCTCCGATTTATGAGAAACATGGAGACTACGGGATGAGAGATCAGTCTGTTGGTCACTACGGGACAATCACTCCTCGGGCTAAAATTGCTCAGGCCACTGTCATAAACCTAGTCAAGACAAGGAGTTTATCTCCAGAGTCTCCCCCACCCCTTCCGCCCCGCCCCTCCCTTCTTGATTGTCCCTCCTCCCTTCCTCCCCTCCCCAACCCGAAACCTAGAACCCGTCAGATATTACATGGCGCGGTATCTCTTCCAAGAAAGAGAACTGATTTCCAGGATAGAGCGAGGCGAAGAGAAAGCTATCATGACTCCGAGCACACGAATACTAGGAATGATGATCTGATTCTTGAACCTGAAGAAAAGGTAAAGAACATTTATTAGAATAATTCAATTAGTTTGAAGTTTATGATAAATCAATGAGTTTCCCTGCGAGAAGCAGAGATTAAATGGTCCAAGGAGAACTAGGATTTAGCACGGGTCTCTCAACCCCGCTGATAAAATATGCTTGTATATTGTTTAATGATTGGAAAGGGAGAGAGTTTTAAACCACGGGAGAGAGGTTTCCAATGTGTTTATCCTTTCTGACCTGGTTTTCGTGATAGAACTCTTTAATTGGATTAAGTGTGGATGTTTTATAGCTTAGATTGACATTATTCTTTTAATTAGATTTATATCATATTTAAAGGCCACATTCACACATGTCCTATATTAGATCAGTCCTGTTTCAAGTAGTGAACTGCTCATTGATGACATCGATAAAATAATCTGTAAAGTTTACTTTTTGTGAAAAATATTCCCCTCTTTTTTGTGAAAAAATGTACTGCACACTTTATTTTGATTTTTTCCTTGAGAGTTTTATGCATGAAACCATACCGTGACAAGCTACAGCGGCCACAATTCAGGATAAAATGTTATTCATTCAAAATAATTTGCAGTACACAATTCTATGACTTTTTTCCTGTGATTTTTTTTTGGTGTTAGAATGTAGGATTTTTTTCAAATTTTTAAACAACTTGCAATAAAAACTATCTAAAGGAGGTTCATAAAGAATAAGGATCTACATATATGCTTACACAATACTTATATTATCCCCTTTGGTTCAGGTTTAACCCTTGAAATATCTCCTGTAGTTTAAAACACTAAACTAAACCCAACCCAGTTTTCAATTAGAGAAACCCTTCAGTAAAACCTTGTACCTGGAGTTCAGCAGGGTCAAACCTCTGACACTGATAGGCTGTAAATTCATGATAATGCTAAATGATAGATAGATAGATAGATAGATAGATAGATAGATAGATAGATAGATAGATAGATAGATAGATAGATAGATAGATAGATAGATAGATAGATATTTTGTATAATATTATGATTGTCTAGGGTGTAGAGGGTTCCAGGTTCTGTACTCTACCCCGACAGAAGAAGAACCAAAGTTACAGTATCAAGAATATCAGTTTTGAGAAAGGTCCTGGAAACCGGAGCCTAGGGTTTACTGTTGTCGGAGGGAAGGATTCTCCGAAGGGTTCCATTGGAATCTATGTCAAGAGTATATTTCCCAACGGACAAGCCAATGGATTATTAAGAGAAGGTAAAATTAGATAAATTTTTATGCAGCTTATGGAGCTTATGTGCTTCCACTACTTTCCCTTATTCTTTATCCTGTTCATTTTCATGCTGCTTCTCCTACTTTCCCTTGTTCTTTATCATGTTCATTTTCATGCTGATTCTCCTACTTTCTCTTGTTCTTTATTATGTTCATTTTTATGCTGCTTCTCCTACTTTCCCTTGATCTTTCTCATGTTCATTTTCATGCTGCTTCTCCTACTTTCCCTTGTTCGTTATCATGTTCATTTTCATGCTGATTCTCCTACTTTCCCTTGTTCTTTATCATGGTCATTTTCATGCTGCGTCTCCTACTTTCCCTTGTTCTTTATCATGTTCATTTTCATGCTGCTTCTCCTACTTTCCCTTGTTCTTTATTATGTTCATTTTCATGCTGATTCTCCTACTTTCCATGTTCTTTATCATGTTATTTTTATGCAGCTTCTCCAACTTTCCCTTGTTCTTTATCATGTTTATTTTCATGCTGCGTCTCCTACTTTCCCTTGTTCTTTATCATGTTTATTTTCATGCTTCTTTTCCTTCTTTCCCAATTCATTTAGATGTTCATTTTCATGCTGCCTCTCTCAGTTTCTTTTGTTCATTTTCATTTCCATTTTCATGCTGCTTCTCCAACTTCCCTTTGTTCTTTATCGTTTTCATTTTCATGCTGCTTATTTAGCTTTTTCTTCATATTTTCTCGAACATAAGCCTTCGGTTTGTTTAGTTTTATGTAGTCTGAACAAAATTAAATATGGACCGATTTGCCTAAAATTTTGATTGGGGAACTCGGGAGGCCTACGGGAATGTTCTTAACTTTATTTTAGGATTCTAAATTGAGTGGGTTGACTTTAATAGCAAAAATTTAGTTTCCCGGTAAAATCGTTCAAGTGCGGGTAACGGAGAGTAACTTTTATTAACCTTAGCAGCGATGGATTCCCCAGCTAGTATTTTACATAAGTTTGTTATTTCTCTGTAAGCATCCGTGAAATTTCAAGCTTCAGCTCTGTTTCCTCCGCTATTATGAACTCGTTCTAATATTGAGTTCTGTATCTAAGCTCCATAATAAATATAAAGATGTATAGTTCAAGTTCTTACAATGAAAAGATAAAATTAATCATGGTCCGACCTAACATACCCGGTTGTGGTAATCCGACTAATTAGCTTTTTGTTCCAGGAGATGAAATCTTCTCAGTTAATGGTCGGTCAGTGGCAGGACTCACTCATCAGGAAGCTATTCATATCTTCAAGGAGATCAAAATTGGAACCATACAAGTAACCATCGGGAGAAGAGAACCAAAGAAGATCATTAAAATCAGTGAGAATCTGTAAAGTGTGTTCTAAAGGTACCCTGATATAAGGAGAGATTAACCACTGCAAGAATGCAGAAATTCATCCGACAACCAAGTTATTAGTTTAAGGTTTAAGACAATGCAGGACTAATTTGTTAGAACTAGAGAACATAAGATCCAGTCAAGGATATTTATGAGAGAAACTGAGTTTGGAGCTCAGAGTATAAAATCCATATGGCTGGAGAACACATGTGGATACCTGGGATGCTTGTGTCGTGGGAACTATGCTCCGGGTCTCACAGCTTCCCAGCTCCGGAATCTTGAAACCCTAGATCTCCGGTTCCCAAGAGAAACAAATATTTCCCATGCGTCCTGACTTAAACCCTGTCCTTTCCCCGGCTGTGATAAAAGATAAATGATTAAATGTTTGTGGCATTTTACAATTAAATCATGAAATATAGTTAAACTAAAATTCTTCATTATATTATAGAGTTTGTTGAAAGCAAACAAAATTCCATTGGATTCATTCGGATTGGAAAATAATCCAAATTATTTAGTTAATTCTGATAAAAATGTATAGTTCTAAATAAATAGTTTTGCAAGGTTACTCTATACATTTACTTTTAGCTGTAAATACCTAATAATATCTCAAGATTTTGCTTATTTATTTTCCTGCTAAATACTTGAGACAGATGATATAAGGAAAGAATATAATTCTAGTTTAAAGAATTAACTTAATTTAAAAAGTTGCTGAAGGGTTAAAAAATGGCGATTATTAATTGAAAAATTCGAATAAAATCTTAAAACAATAATCCATGCATAAAATCGAATAATATGTATTCGAATATTTATACATCGATTTTTTTTTAAATCGAGATTAAGACAAAATTGAGGGTTTATGGAAAAATTGTTAGTGTAGACTAGAATTGACAGATCAGACAAAAATTGATAGTTTAGACGAAAATTGAAAGTTCAGACAAATATTGAAGGCTTAGAAAAACATAAAGTTTTGTTTGCATTCACTTAGACACCTATTGAAGGTTTCAACAAACAAAAGAACTATTTTTTTTTTGTCACAAACACTACTTTTTAAATCCCTTTATATTTGAACCATAATGGTGTATCTAAACCTTTATTAGATTATTATAACTTATATTATTTTCTCTAACAGAATTCATAGTTTGAAATATCAACGCCTACAGCATCAAGTTGCGAAGACATAGAGATAAAAATAATCCAGGTTTCGGACAAAAGCTAAGTTCCATTCCAGTAAAGTTAAAAAATTCGCAAGTTTAAGATTTAACATACAACACACGTTACTGAGCTTCAGCAATGAAAATTAAAGCATAAACCAAGGTTTAGACATAGATTAGAAACTAAGACATACAATCAAAATTTCAGGCCAGGTTTAGAACTGCATTAAAACCTTAAGCGTCGCCAAATTTTAAAATGCAAATAATGGTACAAATAAGACCTTCGTCTGAAATTGATGAAAATATCTTTATTTTTCGATCTGAAAATTAATTACTTCCAATTGTGTAGAAATAAATTGCAGATTTATGCAGATAAAGGGAACCGTCTTAACTCTATATAATCTATAATTTTTATTTCTAAAAGTTGTTAGTTCATCGTCGAGTTCATCGTCGAAAAATACTAACAATCCACCACTAATTTATATTAAATAAAGTGTAAACAATAAATATGTAACTTGCCTTATCCTTTCCTTTTCCTTTTATTTATATTTTTATATTTTTTAGAATTGGGGGGGAAATATTCTCACAACCTCTAATTTTAGAGGTTTTTAAATATTTTCTCCTGAAACACTTTATTTGTATGTTTTTGTTATATTTCATAAATAAATAATTTTTTACTTTTTTACTTTTTAACTCGGATACTTCACTCTATAAATGGTGGATCACTTTAAATTATGTCTACAGTCTCTTTATATATCTTAAAGGTTTATTACACTAAATGATTAAACATTGGAAGCATACAGACATACATTGAAGTACAAGGTATAAGCAATTAGGAAGGTTTGGCCATTATACTGAACGTTTTAACAGATAAATTGTTATACAGTTTAGATTATAAGAAAAAATGAAGGTTAAACATTAGGATTGGTCGATTTTGGAACCAAGCTTGAGTTGGCAGTTTTTCGCGCGTACAATTTTTGCGCGGCTATTTTCGCAAAAAGTCCTAGTAAGACCGAAAATAAATATTTTCAAAATATATCGATATCGATATCAAAAGCTACAAAAAATACAAACTAAAGGTTTAGTCATTTTATGAAGGCACAAACATACAAGCGAATGTTTTAAACATATGAAATAAAGGTTTAATATTTCAATGAAGGTTTAAACATACATTTACTGATGGTTTACTAATACAATGCAGGTTTAAGCATACAAATTAAAGGTTTGATAATACAGTGAAGGTTTAAGCATACAAACTGAAGGTTTAATAATACACAATAAAGGTTTAAGTATACAAACTAAAGGTTTGATAATACAATGAAGGTTTAAGCCTTAAAATTGAAGGTTTGATAATACAATGAAGGTTTTAGCGTACAAACTGAAGGATTGATAATACAATGAAGGTTTTAGCATAAATACTGAAGGTAATACAATGAAGGTTTAAGCATACAAACTGAAGGCTTGATAATACAATGAAGATTTTAGCATACAAACTGAAGGTTTGATAATACAATGAAGGTTTACTAATACAAACTGAAGGTTTACTAATACAATGAAGGTTTAATAATACAATGAAGGTTTAATAATACAATGAAGGTTTTAGCATACAAACCGAAGGTTTGAACATTGACTGAAGGTTGATGCATACCATCCACGTCTAAAGACAAAGTATTACCGCTCAATTCTAAAAGTAAGGTTAGAGTTCAGATCTGTTATTCATCATTGAAATAATATTTAACCTTTTTCATCATCTTAATATCTTCCATAACCAGTCTTTCATCAGCTATATTAGGAGTTGGAAAACTTTAAATGGTCAAATGAAAGGTGCAGCATTCCAAACTTTTTCAAGATAGGGTCAATTTTCGATTTAGCATGAAGATATTAGAGAGGGAGCTACAGATAGATAGATAGAGAATTAGATAGATAGATAGAAAGAAAGAAAGAAAGATTAAATAAAAGAAAGGCAGTTAGATAGAATTATAAAGAAAGCAAGAATAACAATCAAAAGAATGATAAAGTGATTAAAAAAATAGGATAAATAGATTGAAATAAAAAGTTAAAATAATATAAAGAAAGACGATACATATATATAGATAGAAAGATTTATATTGAAGATGATAGAAAAACAGATACAGATATATGTAGACAAAATAATCTATATTTTCTATATAAATGCAGATATAAAGATAGATAGTTAGATAGATATATTGTTATAAAAGCAGATTGATAAGTAGATCTATATAAAGACAGACAAAAAAAGAAAGATTATAGATAGATGGACAAATAGATAGATAGATAGATAGATAGATATATAGATAGATAGATAGATAGATAGATAGATAGATCTATTTAATTAAAATGATAAATTGATAAAGCGTTTATGAAAAAATCATATTAGGTATTTTATACCCTTTCTTTTCCCCCTTATCCTCCAGACAGAGTAAAGTCTATCCTACGTCTGTTGTTTTTGACCTTGGTTGTATTTGAAAATGTCAGAAAATGAAACCGTTAAAGTTGGAAACCATGTTTTTCTCATGACCGTTTATATCGGTTTGATTTTGAAGTGTTTCACGTGTTTTATATAGACGCGGTCCTGATCCTGATCCTGATCCTAATCTGGATCCCACTCATGATTGTTCATGATTCTAGTTGAAAATTTGGTTTATTCACATAAGTCTACAATCAGGGAGGTGTGGGGGGGGGGGGATGATTGAAAGCAGCATGTTTATAATTTTTAATAAGAAATTTAAATTTTATGCTTTCAATATCAAAGATGGACATTTAGCACAAGGGTCGGTTTGATGAAATAAATTTTCATAAATTACAGACACCCCCAAATTAGGCTAAAATTTATGCATTTCGTATCAGCTCACCCCCAGGCATACAACCACAAATTCTTTAAATTCAACAAAACGTAGTCCTCAATCTTTTCACCGATATATTGAGACATGAAGCTACTTTAACACATTTCAGATCTCAGTTAGTTCAATTAAGGAGTTAAATGAACTTAACATTTGCGATTAATGCATTTAATCGCCAATTCCTAATTTCATTACAGATATTTATATACATTTATCATAATAAGCTTTTAGGGCGCTTCGCGCCCATCTTCTATTTAAATTTTTTTTTTTTATCATTCATAAACCTTCCATGTGGTCACGTGATGTCCCACAAAAAATTTGAGGGCGATCGGTTCAGCCGTTTTGACGTTTATTGCATACAAACAAATAGACAGACAGACAAGCCAAATTTATATATAGAGATGCTTCATAAATATTATTTAATACAAATTAATCAAATTAGATCTTGTGCTCATTTATAATGGGCTCATATTTTGTGAACTTTGAACCTTGAAGCAAAAAAGATAATGAAAAAAATAAACAGATTTTAAACATTTGTAATAAACACCATTCTTTTATTTGAAGTCTTGAGAGTGTGAATAATATTTTGTCTTTTAATTATTGTCAATATGATAGCAAGGCTCTTCATTGTACAATGTACAATGTACATTAATAATGTTCAAATTAACAAGTCAGCAAGTTGTGCAAAAGCATTAAGTTTTTGCTACAAACTCAAATTTTCCAATCCTTATATATTTGCAACCTGATGGGGTATTTTTGATCGTACAGAAATTATAGTTTGAAATATCTATGGTCTAACAAATTGGGTGCAAAGATATAGTGATTACCACCGAATAAAGGGCGAAAAAGACAATAAGTTTTTGCCACAAATCCACATTTTCTGTTCCTGATATCTTTGCTCCTTGTTAGTGTAAACCTTTGATATTTTATCCTTAGATTATTTGATCTAACAGAACTCTTATTTTAAAAGATATAGATATACGACATTTGGTTGCAAAGTTATAGGGATTAGAAAATCAAACTTAATTCTTTTGAACCACTAAATTAAAGAGCAGCAGAAGCAGAAGTAGCTTAAACAGCCGTAACTAGTTCAACTATCCCTCCCTCTACCATATATTCCCTGCTCCGTAACTAGTTCAACTATCCCTCCCTCTGCCATATATTCTCTGTTTCGTATTAGTTCAACTATCCCTCTCTCTACCATATATTCCCTGCTCCGTAACTAGTTCAACTATCCCTCTCTCTACCATATATACCCTGCTCCGTAACTAGTTCAACTATCCCTCCCTCTACCATATATTCCGTGCTCCGTAACTAGTTCAACTATCCCTCCCTCTACCATATATTCCCTGCTCCGTAACTAGTTCAACTATCCCTCTCTCTGCCATATATTCCCTGCTCCGTAACTAGTTCAACTATCC